CCTATCTAAATAATCCAGGATAATCCCTCCTTTTCAAGGTTCTTAATTTAATTACATCTGGAAGGTCTCTTTTGCCATGTAAAGTAACATATTCACAGATTCCGGGGGATTGAGGGTGTGGACATCTTTGAGGTGCCATTATTCTACCTAAACACGGCATGCCAGTGTAGTGCTTAAATCATGGAATCATTACATGGGTCTCTGAGTTAGTTGTTCTTTTTGGTATCTTTGCTTCACATTTAAAGCTGTGCCTAGGTTTTAGAGTAATTTCTGAATGGTCACAGATGATTTCTATTTAAATGTTTTTAGTTGGATGGAGATAGGGGAGGAAGGTCTGAAGTCAGAGTACCCCAGAGCACCTCTGGGCATTTGAAGGAGAGGAGGCCCTGGCAGTCTAGAGGAATTGAGGATGGTAAAAAATGCTGCCTTCAGTTCTTTCTACTGGTAGGGTGACACCTGCCCTGGCAGTATGGCTAAACTGTATTGATGATGCTGAATTCTGATCCTGGGATATTGTTAGAGCCCAACCCAGAGCACCTGGCCTGAGAGAGGAAATCCATTCTTATGCTGTATGTGAAAAAGAAAGCCTTGGTGGCTGGGCGCGGTGGCTCATGCCTGTAATCTCAGCACTCTGGGAGGCCGAGGTAGGTGGATCACCTGAGATCAGGAGCTCGACACCAGTCATCTTGGTTTTGGTGGTTTTAGCGGGCTTCTTTACTGCAGCCTGTTTTGTCAGCAAGGTCTTTATGACTTGTATCTTGTGCTGACCTCCTGTCTCACCCTGTGACTTAGAACGCCTGAACTGTCTGGGAATGTAGCCCAGTAGGTCTCAGCCTCATTTTACCCAGCCCCTATTCAGGATGGAGTTGCTCTGGTTCACACACCTCTGACAATAGCTGATTAATTTTGTCATTTTTTTGTAGAGACAGGGTCTTACTATGTTGCCCAGGCTGGTCTCAAACTCCTGAGCTCAAGTGATCCTCCTGCCTCAGCCTTCCAAAGTGCTGGGATTACAGGCATGAGCCATGCACCTAGCCTGGATACTTTCTAGTGTGGTAAAGAGGCAGCTAAAGTAATCTTTCCCTTGCTTCCATATCCTGTCCATCATCAAGCCCTGTTAACTCTTCCTCCAAAACATGTCCTGAACTGGTCTGTTTCTGTCTGTACTCGTCGACTGTTACCATGCTACCATCTTTGCCTTGGCTACTGCAGGGCTCTCCTCACCTGTCTCTCTGTTTTCACTCTTGTCCTCCAAAATCCATTTTCTGTGCATCAGCCAGAGGGATTCTTCTAGATTTCAGTTCTAAACTTGATGCCCTAAGGCCTCCATGTATTTGTTATTAGTGTACAATTCGGGCTTCTGACCTGGCCTGTGGGGCCCTCTGGGGACCTTCTCTGCCTGGGCCTGAGCTCCTGGGCCTCCTTGCTTCCTCTTTTCCACTGTGCTGCTGCAGCAGCAGCCTTTCCTGTCCTGGCTTCCTTGATCAGATCCCAATTTGAGGAACCATCTTAGAGAGGTCCTCCCTGATCACATTATCAAAAGTTGTCTTTCAGGCACTATTGTTGGAGAAATAATGATGTTATGCCAGTTTTGACGATTTTTCAAGTCTCTGTGCTGTCTTCTAGCACATTAGTTTCATCTGCCAGGTTTGTAGTGGAGTGTATCTTCTGTGTTTTAGTACAGGGTATTGATAAAGTATTGCACAGGACAGAGCAAAGTACATAGGCTTTGATAGGGCCACTTCTTCCCTCTGCTTCAGTGTTGACTCGTTAGTCAGCATTCTTTGAATCTCATTGCCTGCTTTTGCCTTCCACTGGCCACTATTATAGCATATGCAGTAACAATAGATAATGTTTATTGAGCACTTAATATGTGCTGTGTTCAGTCCTAGCTGATTCACACATTTGAATTTTTTTTTTTTTTTTTTT